CATACTCCCACCACTAGTACCGTTCTTGGTCCACACTGGACATTCAAAGTAAGAAATGGACCCAGGGTGTTTTTGGAAAGCTCAGAATGTAGGCTCTCCTGACTTCTCTTTGACCCTTTCCTGCCCCCCTGCTTGACTTGCTCGATCCTCAGCATTCTCCTTGGGAGTATACATCCCATGCCTGGCCCTCACGCTGTTCTGAGTCAACCCAACTTCAGTGTGTCCCTTCAGTTTGTCTTGTGAGACAAGCCTGCCTGCAGTCAGAGCCTCTTTGACTCAGAGGAAGTCTGGAGTCATCTCACCCCGTATGCATTTTCTGTATGGGGAGGCTGATGCCCCGAGAGCTTCACTGACTGTCATTCTCATTCAGTGAGGCTGGGGAGGAAGGTCTTGCCTCTTGTCTTCACATTCGGGGCTCTGCCACTGGTCCAGGCTGCCGGGGAGTCTATGGCATCTCCAAACTGGTGGTGAGGCCTCCATATCCAGAAAGATTTGCCCTCCCCTTCCCAGGCTCTTGCTCAAAGGGGTCTCCAAGCCCAGGGTACACCCCATGCACAATGCTCAGCACTATGTACCCTGCAGTCAGAGACCAGAATTCAGGTGCTTACTCTTCTATTTCTGTGATCTTGGGCAAACTGCTTAGTCTCTCTGAACTCTGATCTGCTGTCTTTAGAATGGTCATAGTACCTCTTTCCCAATGAAGCAAAGAGATAATAATACAGGCCTCCCTGGAGGCACCAGGTATTAAGTTTCAGCACTAGGAAGCTATCCGCAGCCACTGCAGCATGAGTTCAATCCCCGGCCAGGGAGGTGACCCACATGGCGCAATAGACCTCTCCTGTCTCACCCGCTGCTCCCCTCAGCAGTGTATTTCAGTGGATCTGCCCATTGTGTTCCCTATTCTGTCTCTGGTAAATTTTCTCACCCATTGCACCTCTGACCTGTACCCCAGCTCTTGTATGCATAAATAAATAAATCCTTAAAAAAAGAGATAATAATGCATATTATGCATGAAGAACATCTTTCTGTTTGCCTCCTGTATCCAGCGTCCAGTTGTGACAACAAAGCTACCCAGTGTGCCGAAATTCTATCTTTTCTATTCTTGAAAGTGCAGGGTATTTGGTTTCTGTGTGGCTGGGGGAGCATTTGCCATGGTGAGTACTTTGCACCAACCCTCAGCCATCTAGACAGAGGAAGTACAGAGGAAGATGCAGTGCTTCTTGGCGCGAGTGACATGTCGGATCCAGCGCAGCCTGGCTGTACCTAAAACTTTAATGTAAATTGGCTCTGACGCCTGTGCAGGGGCCCAGATATAGAAGCAGAACAGAATGACTCTACCCAGGCTGGTGACAGGCCTGGAGCAGGGCTCCCATTGGAGAAAGTGGAGGGCGTAGCGGGAGGGAGAATTTGCTCAGTCTGGCCTGGTGGCACTGTTTTATTAATGATCTGGAAGAGCCGAGGAACAGTGACTTTAATTAAATTTGCCAGTGATATTAAAAGGTGTCAGGAGCCACTGCTGAGGACACAGACACCTTTCACATGGCCCCAGGAGCTTTAGGAAAAATAATCCAGGAAAGAGATGAGAGGCAGTGGGCTGAGCAGGGCCCAGGTTCAGCTGAGGGCGGGCAATGTGACCTGGTGGCAGAGAGTCATCCTCGCAGAATCTACCCTAGGCCCACCCTTTAAGCTGGATCTGTTCTGTTTCCAGTAAATCCTCACCGCTCTTCTGCTCTTTCCGCACCAGCCTTGTCCCTGTTAGCACCAACCTAAACCCTTTAGCCAAAATGGTTTTTCTGAAATACAAATCACACCATGTCATTCTCTTGTGGAAAATCCTGTCATTGGCTTTTCACTGCCCTTAGGAGAAAATCCCATCTTCTCAGCCTGGCGCTGAGCCTTGCCATGAATTGAGTCCGCCCTAAGCCTCCAGCCTTACATTCTGCCCCTCCTGCCCCGGCTAAGTTCCTTGTAATCCCCCCGCCCCGCAGCGCTCCCACGTTTCTCTGTCTTTGCCTGGGCTGTTCTCTTTGACTCAGATGCCCTTTCCTACTTTTTTTTTTTTCCTTTTGATTACAGCTCACTCATGCTTGAAGACTCATTTCAGGGATCACCTCCTTCAGCACGCCTCCCCGAGTCCCCAGGCTGGCGCAGGGCCCTCCTCGGGCTCGCTCAGCCTCCTGCCCTCACCTGCACTTATTACAGTGAAAGTACCTATCTGCGCCTCTGTCCACCCCAACTAGATTGTGCCTTGGAGGCAAACCCGCTGTCTTATTTTTCGCCTTACGTGCCAGCATGTGGCACCAGGCCTGGAAAACCACAGGCTTTGGGCAGAAAACCACTGGACTGATGGGCAGAGAGTTTGGGTGGGAGATAGTGTCGAGCCACCAGGAGACACCCCCCCCTCCCCAGCCCCACTGAGCCTGGTGCGGAGCCATTCTACCTCATCACTGGCCTGGGGGGGGGAGGGGCGCAGGGGGCGGCCTAGAGTGCCCACATTGGGGAAAGACTGGATGCTGCTTGGGAGCCAAGCACCTCCCACAACAAAGCAGCACGTGTCCTAGAACAAAGTGGTTAAAGCCTTACGTTTTGTGTCATCTCTATGTGAGTTCAGGCTCTGCCATTTCCTTGCTTTATATTATTTTTCCTCAAACTTTATTGATCTGTCAGCCCTTTACCTTACCTAAATGTACAACTCAGGGGAGTCTACCTTCACCTCGCCTCCACCCAAGCTCAGTGCTAGTGTCGGGTCCCCTCCCCTCCCATAACCCCTTTCTCTTCTCTCTTATCTGCTCCCTCCCCATCCCTTATCTCCCCCGTCCCCACCTGCTCTCCACTCCCCTCCTCTCCCCCACCCCTCCCACCTCCCCACCCTCTGCCTCTCTCCCTGCCTCTCCTTTTCTCTCCCCCCCCACCTTTGAATGTAGGTGCGGAACACCCCCAACCGCCCTTCTCTTTATCTTCCTAATCTTTTGTCCTCTGAGTGAGGTCAGTGCCCCAGGCATCTGCTGCGCTGTTTCCTGTGCCTGGACTGTTGGAGAATGTGGGCCCCAGAACCCTTGGAAGAAAGCCGTCCTGATCGCAGTGTGTACCGGGGTGTGCTGTGTCCTAAAGGGAATTTCTCTTGAGTACAAGTGTTGGGAATTTAAGGAGGTCTTACATGGCCTCTAATATCTACTCACTTCCGCTGACTCCGGTGCTATTGTTTGTAAATAAGGTTCAGGCCCTGCTTTCTGTGAAAGCAAACCTCAAAAAGTTAGATGAAGTTTTTTCTTTTGTCCTGTAGGGTCTGGAAGCAATAGAACCACTTAGCCTTGGTTACAAGAACGAGAGCTGGAGTGGTGCGTATAGTTAGGAGGCCACTGCAGTAGATTCATCGGGTGAAGATTTGGGCTGTGACGGTGGAGGGAGAGATGGAGGGATAGGATTCGTGCTGGAGTGGGGGAGGGTCAGGAGGGAGAGAAAGGCTTGCAGACTAACACCTGTTATCCAGCATGAGTAACGAGGTGGCTGGAGACCCTGTATTATGAAATGGAAAAGAGTGGAAAAGGAGGAGCAGATCTGGAGAAAAAGGACTTGGAATCCTTTAAGGTGCTGTACAGACGCAGCCCAGCATTCCTGTTATGAAAAGTATCCCTCACCGTGGTAGCAGAAGTGGAAAGATGAACTAGTTGCTTTATTTTTTTTTCCCCTGCTGCACGGGTATTTATAATCTTATTCCGTCTGAATGATGCAACGAATGGAAAGATGAGTCTGTAGTTTCAGCGGAATTCCTTCCCATTCTCTTGAACTCATGCTCCGCTTTTACTCATTTGAGGTCAGCAGACTGGACTGCGTTTCATGTCAAAATCGTGTCTCCAGTTTAAAAACAATCTATCTGAAAGTCACTTGTGTGTTTTATTAATAGTGTTTGCTACCACTTGACCCTTTGAGTGTTTGCATTTGGAATTTGACTGGCTGACTTGGCGCCATCTTCCTGTAACTGGATGCATAAATGATTTCACCGCTATGTTTTTGCTGGAGGACTAAGGGCTACCTTGGGCTGAGTCTAGGGAGCAGCTTGCAGGGCCTCAGTGTAGTGACACTGAAGATAACTTTGTCTACAGAATCAACTCTTCTTTCAGAATTACAACTTGCTTCCAAAAGTTTTGCATTTGGGAAAGGAAATTTTCCTGAGGGGAAATTGCACCCAGAGCAAGGTGTTCTATTTTGGGGAAGTAGCCCATGATAGCAGTTCAATCCAGTATGCACTCTTTTTTTTTTTTTTTTAATAGAGGCATGTTTTTACTTATTTATTTATTTATTTGTTTGTTTTGTTTATACAAGCACTGGGTATAGTCAGAAGTGTGGGAGGGTGAGAGAATTCACCAGAGCCAGAGCGGGGAGCAGAGCAGGCAGAAGGACCGAAGTATACTGCTGAGGGGAGCAGCGGGCGGCAGGAGAGGTCTGCGCGCCATGTGGGACCCTCCTCCGGTGGCCGGGGAGCAGCCGGGGATCGAACTGGCACCACAGAGGCTGCGGGCAGCTTCGCAACCCAGCGCTCAACAGCTGCGCCACCTGGGAGGCCCCCAGTATGCACTCTTGCAAAGCTATGTTGTGCAAGATTTCTTGAGTATGATGATGGTAGAGGGGGGAATACTCGAAATTCTAGAAACAGTATTAGTTGACAAATGTTCAAATCATAATCTATTTTAAGTTAATTCTTGAGAATTATTTCGGCTAACAGTGGGATTGGAAATAGGACTGGAGGGGATCACTTATGTTTCCATTCTAATATACCCAGTTATTTTAAGCCATTCTCCAACCGAGTTTCCACCAGATGGTCCTGAGGACAGTGCAGCTATTTGTACCTCCCATTGACATCTTTTTCCAAGTGAGAGACTGCCCCATATGTTAGCACGATATGTCGCTCAAGGTGAAGCACCAGATTGTATTGGTGGGAACCTACCATTGGCTGTCCCCCGTCTCCTCATGACTTTTCCTGCCTCTCTGGTCTTTTCTAGGTCTCTGGCCTGTCAGGAGGACCTTGGTGCTGCAGTGGAAGCCAGCGGCTAAGTCTTGTGTATGGCGTGGTTAAGGTTGCAGCCTGTCACCTCTGCCTTTCTCCATTTTGGGCTGATTACTTTTGTGCTCTTCCTGAATGGTCTTCGGGCAGAGGCCGGTAGCTCAGGAGATGTGCCCAGTACAGGGCAGAACAATGAGTCCTGTTCAGGGTCATCGGACTGCAAGGAGGGTGTCATCCTCCCCATCTGGTACCCGGAGAACCCTTCCCTGGGGGATAAGATTGCCAGGGTCATTGTCTACTTTGTGGCCCTGATATACATGTTCCTTGGGGTGTCCATCATTGCTGACCGCTTCATGGCATCTATTGAAGTCATCACTTCTCAAGAGAGAGAGGTGACCATCAAAAAGCCCAATGGAGAGACCAGCACAACCACAATTCGGGTCTGGAATGAAACTGTCTCCAATCTGACCCTTATGGCCCTGGGTTCCTCTGCTCCTGAGATCCTCCTCTCTCTGATTGAGGTTTGTGGTCATGGCTTCATAGCTGGCGATCTGGGGCCTTCCACCATCGTTGGCAGTGCAGCTTTCAACATGTTCATCATCATCGGCATCTGTGTCTATGTCATCCCTGATGGAGAGACTCGCAAGATCAAGCACCTGCGCGTCTTCTTCGTCACGGCTGCCTGGAGCATCTTTGCCTACATCTGGCTCTATATGATCCTGGCCGTGTTCTCTCCTGGTGTGGTCCAGGTGTGGGAGGGCCTCCTCACGCTCTTCTTCTTCCCAGTGTGTGTGCTTCTAGCCTGGATGGCAGATAGACGGCTGCTCTTCTACAAGTACATGCACAAAAAGTACCGTGCAGATAAACACCGAGGGATTATCATAGAGACAGAGGGTGACCACCCCAAGGGCATTGAGATGGATGGGAAAATGATGAATTCCCACTTCCTAGATGGGAATCTCGTGCCCCTGGAAGGCAAGGAAGTGGACGAGTCCCGCAGGGAGATGATCCGGATTCTCAAGGATCTGAAGCAAAAACACCCAGAGAAGGACTTAGATCAGCTAGTGGAGATGGCCAATTACTACGCTCTTTCCCATCAACAGAAGAGCCGCGCCTTCTACCGGATCCAAGCCACTCGGATGATGACTGGTGCAGGCAATATCCTAAAGAAGCACGCAGCGGAGCAAGCCAAGAAGGCCTCGAGCATGAACGAGGTGCACACCGATGAGCCTGAGGACTTTGTCTCTAAGGTCTTCTTTGACCCATGCTCTTACCAGTGCCTGGAGAACTGTGGAGCTGTGCTCCTGACAGTGGTGAGGAAAGGGGGGGATACGTCCAAGACCATGTATGTGGACTACAAAACAGAGGATGGATCTGCCAACGCAGGGGCTGACTATGAGTTCACAGAGGGCACTGTGGTTCTGAAGCCAGGAGAGACCCAGAAGGAGTTCTCCGTGGGCATCATTGATGATGACATTTTTGAGGAGGATGAACATTTCTTCGTGAGGCTGAGCAACGTTCGCCTGGAGGAGGAGCAGGTGGAGGAGGGGATGCCTCCAACAGTACTCAATAGCCTTCCCCTGCCACGGGCCGTCCTGGCATCCCCATGTGTGGCCACAGTCACTATCCTGGATGATGACCACGCAGGCATCTTCACTTTTGAATGTGACACTATTCATGTCAGTGAGAGTATTGGTGTCATGGAGGTCAAGGTTCTGCGGACATCAGGTGCCCGGGGCACAGTCATCTTACCTTTTAGGACAGTGGAAGGGACAGCCAAGGGTGGTGGTGAAGATTTTGAAGACACATACGGGGAGCTGGAATTCAAGAATGATGAAACCGTGTAAGTAACCCTTCCATGGTCTATTGCCTCCATCCCTTGTCATTGCCTTCTGTCCTTGCGTACCATTCTTTAAATATTTCTCTGTATTTGTGTTAATGTCATACTTTGGTTTCATCGCAGGTATGCAGGATCAGCAGACAGTACTGGCAGGTTCTGTGTCCAAAATTTCCCTTAGTTTTTGTGCTTTTAATGTTTTCTGGGCAAGGACTCCTGTGGTTGGATTAAGGACACAGAAGGCTTTGTCCATTGAAACTGACCGCGACAACTGATGGAGGTATGAGGGTGCCAGAAGTCCGATATCATAGTTTGGAGAATTCTCATGACAAAGCCAAAGTAGGAGACATCTTGGGTCTCTCTGACCTCCACTCCTCATGCCCAGGTCTTGTATGAGCTTTGAAGTCACTCCTTACCCTAATGAGACAGTGATAGCTCAATCAGGACATCCCCAAGAAAGCAAGTGGCACTGGCTTTTCCCCGCAAGTACCATGTCGCAGTTGTGGTATGTAACCAGATTTCAGACCCCTCTCCAATTTGGAAACTGCAAAGTTGGTAGAAACTTGGCACTCCCTTAAGAATGTCCACAGGGTATTAATGGTGCAAGGTGTGTCCAGCCTAGAAGAGAGGGGTCAGTGTGGCTTGGGCCCTGGAGGTACCTCGGGGAAGCCGAGCACCCAGGGCAGTGACCATCCTAGAATTTCAGTGCCAGGTTTATGCTCCAAAATCTGGTAAGTAGTGAGAGAAGATTCTTGGGAATTGTGAGAGAAGCCACATCTTCTGCTGGTCAGATCTTTTCACAGTCCAGAATTCTCCTGAATTACTTTCTAGTCAGCTGCCCCATTTAGTCCTTCGACATTGTGGGGGTGACGCTTCTCAGCCTCTGTCACTGTAGGACGGCTCCCACTGAGTCTTCTTGAATGCATGCTCTGTCCTTATCTTCTGAGCATCTTTGAGGAAGGAAGCAAAACGACTTCCCTTAAGATTTGCAGCTTATGAGGGGCCAGATTTTCCAGAGTAGCCAAGTTACTGCTCGTGAGTTCCTGCTCGTGTCCCCAAGCAAAAAGCAGTAGCAGGGGAAGGTGTGAAGAATAGAAGGCAATGCAGGCAGGAGAAAACGTCAAACTACTGCAAGAACTTATTAGCCACACTTTCAGTGAGAAATGAAAACACAGTGTTTAGAAGAGCTAAGGAAGGAAAAGGCGGGTCCATGGAAAAGAGGGAGGTACGTCACAGAAGTGCTTCTTTGCAAGTCTGGCCATGAGACAGATCTCAAAAGGGGCAGAGTCCTGCTGACAACAGCGCTTCAGTGAGTGGTCCTGGGGGCTCTGCACTTGTCTTTCCTCAATCTTTAATCCTGACTTTAAAAAATTAAGTTGGACGAGTCACTTAGTTTTAGCTCTGGAACTCACCCATAAAGTGAGAATGGCAAGGTATCCGTGCCTCGAGCAGCCAGATGGGGTCTTTCTGCAGTTCCTTCCAGCTCTAGCATTTTCTGAACTCTAGGCTCAAGTGCTCAGTGTAGGTCATATTTGTCCTACCCAAGATGGAAGTGAAATGGCCATTCACAGATTGATTTATTAGCGCCCCATTTAGTCATTTTGCTGGAAAGGACAATCATCTGTTAGCATAAGAAAAAAACCTGTGCCTTCCAGAGAATGCTGTTCATTTGTATGTGCTCTGGGGAGAGTTTTCTGCATACAAATGAAGGGCAGGACCTCACTGGGGTGACAGACACTGAGGAGGGGCACGTGTGTTTACAGCAGCATCAGGGTGTAAGAGTCGTTGTCAGGCATTACCGGGTGTTAATGCAGCAACACTGGTCATCCTTTGACAGACACAGTTGTGGGTGCTCCAGTTCCATACCCATCGGCCACGGGACCTGAATGGTAATTTTTGAGAAATCAGAGGCTTGAATCCAAAGTTTTTTATCCCATTAATAATCAATTGTGCTTCTAGGTTCTCTGGATGTGACTTAATCTTCCTCAAGCCCCTTTGTATTTTTAGCTTGAGCAATATCTTGGTGTGAATGTGTCTCATGAATTATGACTTCTGGGTGCTAATGGTTCTAAATGGGTCTTGGCCTTCACAAGTTTGAGATTCTGGTTCAGCTATTCTGCTCATCTATTCCTTTGCATTATTTTTTAGACTTCAGTATAGATTTACCCTTTTGATCTTCTTCACCATAGAATGAATCCAAAACCTGCTAGTCTGTCTCCATATTGAAGCCCTACCCTTGCTACTTTAAATTATAATTTTTTAACTACAAACAATGATGTTGCAGAAAAACCCTGGGATCTGAGTACTCTGCGTAAAGGTTTTGGCTTTACTGTGGGTTTAAGCATGTAGTTTTGGGTAATTTTAATTAACTTTCAGCATTATTTCCTCATTGGTAAAATGGGCATAGTAATGTCCCTTGCAGAGCTGTTACGACAATTCAAGGTATTATATCCAGTGTTCCTAGTACATGGGATATGCTTAGTAAATGGGGTTATTCATAGTAATTAACAATGAGGTAGCAATATTCTCCAGAACACACTATTAGGGTGATCAGGTGATCAGGTTGGATCTCTAATTAATAAGCATGCTAGTTTTTTGGTTACCAAGAAGATTCTAACCTAAGCTTGTAAAATATGAGAGCCAGGAAGGTCCTTAGAATATTTTCTAGAATAGTGTTTCTTAAATTTGAATGGGCTTATGAATCCTCCCAGAAGCTTGCTAAAATGCAGGTTTTTTTTTTTTTTTCTGTTTTGCTTATTTATTTTTATTTTTATTTTTTTTTTTAAGTTCACAAATATTTAATTTGATGTTCATTTTTTACAAGAAATCGGGCACAGTGTAAACAAAAAGTTCTTCCTAGTTCTCTGGCTTATAATGGGAAGAATTTTCACTTGACATTAAATTTATTTTTGTTGAAGATCAATTGCTTTAGCTTTCCTCTAGGACACTGTCATCAGACCAATTTCTATTCCACAAAGTTTATTCCTTTTGTGCTTAGTAAATAATTCTTTATCACCTAGGTTCCAGACCCTTTTCACCCATTCTTTTCTCAATGTCTTTCATTTAATTTTTTTTTTTTTTAAATATTAAATTTTATTTTTATATTCCCCCATACAATTGCAAACGCCCCATTCTGACCCCAATCCCTCCCCTCCCGCCCCCCACCCCCCAAAAAGTGTCTCTGGTTCATAGTAAAATGCAGGTTTTGATTCAAAAGGTGTAGAGTAGGGCTCTACTCTGCATTTCTAGTAAGCTTCTGATGCTGCTGGTCCCCGCTTAGAGGTAAAAGACCTCAAAGCTGTTGACCAAACCATGAGATCCAGGCAGGAAAGTGACTTTTCAAATAACTCACTTAACTGAACCATGAATGCTTGCTTTCCAGTTATATCTTTCGTGTAGCTTAGCTAGAACCCAGTTCTTACCCTGAGACCCTGTTAATTGCAACACCAATCTACAAACTGAAATTGAAACACTCAGGGCAGTTAGAATCTGTGTGATGCTTGGAACAACGTCACTTGCTATTCCTTCCTCTTTGTGTAACTTTATTTGCCTACCAAGCCTGGTAGCATTGGCTCTTCTGCTCTCACTATACTCCTCTAAACATAATCAGGTTGAAATCAAGCCTCTGCCCTATCATCACTGTTGAGTCTGTGAATCCACTTGTTCTTCAGAGGTTTCCTTGGCATGAGGGTAGGGTATAAAAGAATGAAATGTAGACTCTGACAAATAGACATGAGTCCATCACTAACCAGCTGTGTAACCTTGAACAAGTCACTTCTGTCTGAGTCCCGGTTATTCTGTTGGAATGATAACAATAATATCTATTCTTCTATTGTGAAATGAGGGTGCCATACAAATATGAAGAAAATCCACCAGTAGCACAGTGCCTGTTCTTAGGAGATGGTCAGTCATTCAACAAACAGATATCAAATATCTGCTACATACTCGGTACATGATTATGTACTGGAGATAAGTCCACAAATACCACAAACTGGCATTTCAGCGCTCCAATATTTTTTTTTTTCCCTCCAGGGAGAAGGATGCAAGGTACACAGACAAATCAGAACTCATGGGAAAAGTGGTAGGGTTAAATTCAATAAGAGAGGGATGAACGCTCTCTCTGTGTATGTGACACCACTATATGCTGGAGGCCAGCTCTGGTGAACAGGGTTGAGGAGAGGAATCCGAAAGAACCAATAAATGAGATAGAAGCTAAAATTTTTACATAGAATAAGTGTCTAGTCTTAATCATTACTAAAGACGTAGGGCTCGAGACCACAACGGTTAAAGCAGTTTTTACTAATTTAGATAAGAAAACATTTTTGAGTTTATATTTCTAAGAAACGATCCCTTGGCTTTAAGTTGTTAGTGTTTTGTCTCACTGAGACCAAGCTCCTTCTTCAGACAAAAAAGAACACTGTTTTCTGAGGACAGGAGAAGTTACAGTTTGCCTGTTTTAGACTTTTATCAAAATCTGAGGTTTGGAATTTGCTCAAAAAAGTTTTACTTTCACTTTTTATTTTTACCAGGTTAATTAGTTTTAACAAGAAACTCAACCTTTTACAGGCCCAATAAGCAAATTTAAAGGCTTTTACTTAGCCAATAAGCATTTTGTAGGAGACAGAGAGAAACAGAATTTTTTTTACCTATAGAACAGGCCAGAATAGTATTTCAAGATGGACAAAAGGAGAGCCCAGTCCCCCACAGCAGGAAGGCAGTAGAGACATGTCAGTGTTCTCAACACTGGAGAAAAAGTCCAGGCAGCTGCTCCCTGAGACCAGGGACAGCCCCCCACCAGCCAGCCGCAGTGGGTTGATACTATTTTGATAAGAACCTTTTAGTCTCATATAGTCATACCCATTTTCTATAACCTTAACATTTGTGAATGAACTTTGAATACCATTTCTGGAAATACCTTTTTCATTTTTTTTTTTTTTTTTAATAAGAGCGTATAGCAAAACTTTAGTGCCAGGGACACTGGCCTCCTCCTCAAATAATTAACTGGA